ACTTGAACAACCATTTTTGACAACATTTAGACACGCGCACACGTGTCTAAATTTGAGTGGTCCAGTTGGAAAAATTAAATGAAAATGGACCACTCAAATTTAGACACGTGTGCGCGTGTCTAAATGTTGTCAAAAATGGTTGTTCAAGTGTCATTTTCCCATCGTATAAATATACACTCTTTCTGATAAAAGAAACATTATTTTAAACTTTTTGTGAAAATTCAAGGAAACATTATCAGCTACAAAAGAGGACCAGATTTCACTTACAATAATTGAACTGTGTAAGAGAATAAAGTCACCGGCAGATTTTCCCTGTTATTAAAACCGAGATAACCACAACATTATTTAACCATCACAAACAAAGGAGAAACTGAAACTTAGCTCATAACCTTTAAGAGACATAAAATTAATATAAATATCATCTGCCATCTGTTATTGAAATGCTTTCTGTCAAGTGCATCTCTTAGTAACCTTAACCTTCAAGCCTTGTTCAATGGTAAGCACCACAGAGACTCTTGGTGTTATAGGATGACCATCCACCACCTTCATCTGAAACCTCCACAGTATAGCAACTGCAACCAGCTTCATTTCAGTGAAAGTAATGTCTTTACCCAAACAACTTCTAGGGCCTGCATTGAAAGCTATGAACTTGTGAGATGGAATTTGTATAATCTCTCCACTCTCTGAAATCCATCTCTCAGGCTTAAACTCCATGCAATCATGTCCCCATATTTCTTCCATTCTTCCCATTGCATACAAAGAGTACAATATCATGGTATTTGGGCTAACATGGTGTCCACTAGGAAGTCTATCAGATTTTATTGCACACTTGTGATCATAGGGCACAGTAGGAAAAAGCCTCAGTGCTTCACATATAGCTCCATGGAGATAAGCTAACTTACCAAACTCTTCAACACCAGAAGCAATCCAAGTTCCATCTTGGTTTATGCAATTTTCTTTGATCTCTTGAAGGATTTTAGCTTCCACATGTGGATGAGTTGAAACCAGCCAAAAGAACCAACTGAGACTTGCACTGATTGTGCCACTTCCAGCAGAGACAAAGGTAAATGCAGTGTCTCTAAGATACTTGTCATCCATTATTCTCCCCTTTTGATCTCCTTCTTCCATTAGCACTCCCAGCAAGTCATGATCAGTATCATCTACTTCTTTGGTGCTATTGCATCTATTTTTCTCTTCACGCTTGGCTGCAACGCATTCATACAAGAATTTATCAAAAATTTCTCTGGCCTCCTTGAACTTCTTCTCTTGGCCAATCTGGAGCCACTCCTGCAACTTCCACAAACATCTCGGTGTGATGTGCCTGTGAAATAATGACTCCTCGATCACAACTAAAGCTCTCTGATAAGTAGGTTGAGAAAGCTTAGTATTCTTGTTTGGAAGAGAGTGAGGATCATAACCAAGAAAACAAGAGCAGGCAATGTCGAATGTGAACCTCCGAAGGGCAAATTGTAAGTCTACCTCAGCTCCAACCTCGGATGTATCATCAAGAAATGGAACTAGGTCATTCTCTAGCTTCTTCTGAATGGCTTTTCGAAGGAAGATCTTAAGGCTTTGCCTTTGAAACAGTGAATGAAGTACTGACCTTTCTTTTTTCCATGCATGGAGATTATCAGAATTAATAATCCCACCTCCAAAAACGTCAAATATTTCACTGAAATTGGACCCTTTCCCGTAGTTGCTAAAGTTCTTGGTGGTGATGTGGTGCACGTTCGTGGGATCGGCTGTGAGAATAAAGTTCATGTTTGTGAACCAAGGTCCTTCGAACATCAGAGTTCCTCCATAATGTTTCAAAACAAAGATTGCGTAATCGTGAATGTTGGACAAATTTAGGAGAAGATAATGTAGCATACCAATGATTGGTAATTTTAAAACTGCAAAGGGTATATTTCTCTTGTGTCTCCTACTTATCTGGTAGAATATGAAGGAGAGAACAATGGGTAGAAATACTCCAATATACAACAACATTATCGTATATTGCAGGTCGAAGAAACTGTGTTTCAATTTGGGTGAGGACAGAGTTTGTGGTGATATTTATGATGCGATCTAATGGACAAGTAAACAAAGGTATAAAGAGCTTCATAAATTTATCAGTTGAGGGTTTTATCAAATGTCAAATCAGCTATTAAAGCATAATGGCTTGGGGAAGTAGAATTTGGTAGTGATCATAAGATAGGAAAATTATGTTGAAAATGACACATGATATTATTATTTTTTATTTAATAGAAAAAATATATGATGAATGTTTGAATAGTAAACAATTAATATTGACTATTTAATGGCTAGAATGGTAATAGTCGAAGTGAGCGAGAGAATTATCACCAATGGCAAGAGCATTTGAATATTTAACCCTCCTTATGAAGAAAGCAAGAATTGATCACTCGTCATCTGGTATTCAACAATGTCTTTCACTTTTTTTTTCATTTAACTTTTTAATGTTTCTCCCTTTTTTTTTGCTTATGATATCACAAATTTATTTCAACAATTTTGGGCCAAGTTTCATCCCCTTTTATTATTTTTCGCAATTCATAACGGTTATTTATACGAGCATGGTTATCAAATTATCGAGCTAACTCGTAAACTCGTATGAGTTTACATTTCCAAACATGGCTTGGAGTTATCTTGGAAGTAAACTCGTTTTTTGCCTAAACTCAATAGAATTTATTGTGAAATCAGTAGGATAGTGTTAAATCGAGAGTTTGGAGCAATTATGCGAGTTTAAAAGTTAAGAAAAAATGAGGTCGTTTGGGATTTAGGGTTTAATGACCTGATTGTCACTATCTCTCGCGTCCCTCTGTCTCTCTCCATGGTCATCGTCATCGCCTCGCCTCCTTAGTGAAATGCATCAAAATTAATGACAATCCAAGTATTTATGTTTTACAATATTTATTTTTATGAACAATATATCTATAAATTTTATTTATTTAAAGTTATATAATTTTGTAGACTTATTTAAATTAAGATATTATTTATATAATATTTTTTCATCTGAAATAAATTCTTACGAGTTTATACGAGTCGAGTTTACGTAAACTCTCGAGTTCGATAAAGTTTCCATTTTGAAAGTTTTCTCAATATGTAAGCTCATGTAATAAATGTTCTATATTTTAAATGTGTTATTATGGAATTTGAACATTTCTTATAAATTATTGATGATGTTTTTCTCTTTATTACAATTAGAGTTGATGGAGAACCATACAAGGAAGCTACATTATTATTTCACTAGAGTCATGTGAGAATGGAAGAAGAATGACTTCAAATAACTTTATTCTTGTGGACGAATTCTTAAAAAATAATTTATATTATGATAAAAATAATTAACAGATAAAAACTACATCTTATTATTGTAGAGTAATTCTTAAAAAATAATTTCAAGATTATTTTTAAAAAATAAGTCGTTAGATAGTATACCACGTTCTTATTATGCCTTCAAAACAT